TTGTCTGAACAGCTTCTTAATGAACCAGACTTGTCAAATGTAAGGAACAGCGAAGATAGTAATTCAGAAGCGATACTCTATGAGGTGATACATTAATGTAAAAGGGGGACAGACTTAGTTCTCTGTTCAAAATCTCTGAGGTTTATCATATTCTACAACAAAAATTGCTACAAGACTGGAAAAATAGTTTCCCTGTTTCTAAATAAGCTTAATCCTAAAGGACAACAAAAATTGGTAGGAAATAACATTTTTTTTCCAGAGAATGAGTTTTCTCCTGGATAATCCATCATACAAAGCAGGTAAAAACTGACGGCCTCAAAATTTTGCACTACATTTTAATATAGTTATTGTATTTACTGATTATTTAAAATAGTTAAAACAGGCATTAGCAAAAAATAAGGGGGGCATTCTTCACTATTGCAAAAATAAACAAGTATTGGGAGGAAGAGTCTTAATTTACAAATATGCTATATTTTCATAAAAATGTTGGCATTCAATCATCCTTGTGTCTGCACTTCCTTGGTGACCATGATTCATTTTGTTCTAATGTAGCTATTCTGTATTTGCAAGGAGCACGAAAAGGCGGAGAAATATAGCCCTTTGTGAATAAAGGGGTATTAAAAACAAGCATGATCAGATGAAAAGACAGGTGCTTCCAGAGACAGGAGACATGGGGAAATGGAGAGAGCAGAGTTAAAACTGTATGAAATTTTTGTAAGATATTGCAAGTTGGATTTCCTCACTAACAGGGACATTTCTACGTAAGCTTACAGAATTACAGAATTAGAACTTTAAGACAAAACACACATTTTATAGACTTGTGTAGAGGAGATGAAACACACATTGAGGTACTCAATATTTTCAGAAGGAGTCTTGGTGGTGCAGTGATGAAGTGTTCTACCACTAGCCCACAGGTTGATGGTTCAAAACCGCTGGCTGCTCTCAAGCAGAAAGATGGGGTCCTCTGTTTCACATAAAGACTGTAGCCTTGGAAAGAAATCCTGATGTGGCAGCTCTACTCTGTCCCACACGGCCTCTATGTGTCAGAACAGACTCAGAGCCAATTACTTTGGGTTTTGGATTGCACATTTTCTGAGCAAAATTTCATTCGAGTCTTATTCCCTGCATAGATTATATTACAGCTCAATAAATATTGTCAACAATGCTAACTATAAAATTATAGCCAAAACAATACCAATCTTTTCTAGTATTTTTTTATCTGTATCCTCAAGAAAAACTTGATTCAGATCAACAGGAGAGATTTAAATAGTTCATCCATTGAAGCTTACTGTGGGAATAAAAATGGATTGATAGTCACAAAATGATGATTCTAATTCCACCTTTATCTTGAATGCATGCATCTGGAGTAGCTATTACGTTTCTTTGACTATAAACTGAGGAGCACAACATCTTTTCCATTTACATATTGGAGTTATTATGAATCATAGGTACATGAGATCGAACAATTTGCTTGATGCTGACATCTCTTTCAACATGAACGTATAACGTATAACGTGTTAACAATAATATGATAAGATGCCCTCATGGTTTATAAATGAGACTATCACAAGGGAACTAAGAAAAGGCTATATGGTGATCTAAATTTTCTTGAGTACTCGTATTTCCCTATCTATCCATTTGAGATAGTGTGGCCCTGCACTACTCCGTGTTTCTTCTTGTGTCCTGAAGTCTTGTCCCATCTCAATCCCTGGCTACGTGATTAAACTTATTTCACCTATCAATTCTATAGACCATGTTAAATAAAACTAATCCTGCTACCAATTGATGAATTTGACACATTCTCAAACCTTAATGAAGAAGATGTATGATTTATTAAACTATTGGCTTCCATAAATTTGCCTCTGAAAGTTATTTAACAGTTGGAATTTTTAAACAATCTTTTGTCCTCACACCACAATCTAAATTCCATAACATCAGAAAATAACATGCATTACCAAATTACATTACATGGATGTTTGCTAAATCTTGCTAAATCTCAGACTCAGAATAGTATTTACTTAGAAGTTTAATTGAAATTATTATCACCAAAGAAGACACTTAATAAATATGACAAAATGCTTTCTATAGAAGTCTGGTTTTCAGATAAAAAAATTAATATGAATTGAAAATGTGACTAACATCAGCTAAGCATAAACAAAAGCACTAGGGTAATTCTTTCATAAAAATTCATTTCTTAGCACATTTTAAAGTCTAGGGGATCATCTCAGAGTACATGTTTAGAAAGGTATCAACACATTCTGATACAAGGGGTCATATTTTGTGTTAATATATTAGAATGCTAAATAGTTTTGCCATTATTTGATATCATATGCTGTCTGAGGAAGCTCCAAAAATTAATGGAAATAAAGCTTAATTGTTTAAGTTTGGGGATGAATGACATTAAGTATCTATGTGGGCGTATGTGGACATATGCATGTATATATTTGGTATGTTATTTGATTATTTCAAAAATTTTGCTTTTGCTATGCCATTGGAAATCCCATAGGAACTGATTTCAAAGTACTGGAAAATAATGAATTAATGCAGTTTCTGAAGGTTTGAATAGTTATGCTATAATCAGCAGTTAGCAGCATTTGGCTCAATTTTCTTTTTCTGAATAAAAGAAGCATTAACAGATAGACAAATGAACTTACCAATGCAGATTGTGCCATCATTAGTTGTAAACCTGTCTTGATTGTTGCTGGACTTATACCCAGGTGCACACATGCAGTAGTAGCTCCCCTCTGTGTTAGTGCAGTTAGCATTTTCACCACAGGGGTAGGTTGAATTTTCACACTCATTATCATCTGTGGATATATGATTTTAAAACACTTTTAAAACATCTCTATTTGGGATGAATTCATAGCATGTTCTAACAGTCACTGAAATATTTTATAGTTAAGTAATTTAAAGCAGTCTAATGTATATTTCTAAGTAGAGTTAATGCTGGAGTCCACTTTTCAATTCTTGTTTATAAAGTGAGAACTTGTCCTCAGTTACAAATATAAATAGAATTTATAAATTCGAAATTACTAAATATATCTCTTGATTCCTTAATACACTATTTTCCAAAAGTTTACATTTAGTTTAATTGTAATACTGCCATTATATTTTTGAATTTGCAACATTCATTATCATCAATCAAGAGCATATGAAACATTATAAAAGAGATAATAAGAAATTACAGCATGATAGGCTCTGTTTCTGTCCTTTAATTTCCTCATTTGTCCCCAGAAGAAGAGGGTAAAGCACAAGCTGCTCACCGCACAGGAGGCAGAGAGCGCAGTCCACTGATGGAAAGAGTTGCCCTCTTGGGAACCCTCTGGCACTTTCACCACAGGACTGGGTTCAATTTGGAGACTCTGTACTTTAAGGCTACTAGAAGTTAGAATTAACTATGGCCAATTACCTTTTGTGAATTTTAACTCATAGAGACCATAGGG